GTCAACAAACATCACGGCCCCTTCGACAAACGAAATGGCCATTTTCACGCACCGGTGCCTGCATCTTTCATTGCTAGCTGCAGGGAGCACGAGGTAATACCAACGGAAGATCGACTCGGGATTTCGTGTCTATATAACCTTCGTATTCCATCTCACCCTAAGTTTGCGCGCATGCCCGGTATCAATATTTTGCATGCTTGAAGATGTATCTTCCCATTCTTAGTGTGCTGTGCACCTTCTTTCTTACTACTGCTGCACAATCTAGCTCGACCTTCACTCCAGCTCGTCCACCCTCCCTACCACTGGCCGTCAAGAGTCCATATCTCAGCACGTGGTTTCCTGCCGGTAGTGATGGAGGAAATGGAGGCTATCTTCCAGGCCAGTGGCCATCATTCTGGACGTAAGATCCCTCTCGACGCTACGTGTTGGATACATGTTGACATTAAGCAGTGGTCAGATTCTAGGATGGACTGGCTTGGTTAAAGTCGATGGCAATACCTTTGTCTGGATGGGGAAACCCGACGGCTACAACGATTTCGCCAATCAGACATCATACGAGTACACGTCTACCAAGAGCATCTTCACCATCACCGCAGGCGATACCCTTCAGCTCAAGGTTACATTCATGTCACCACTGACTCCAAATGACTTCAAGCGTCAATCTCTTATCTTCTCGTACATGAACGTCGAGGTCTCGTCTCTAGACGGCTCCCAACATGACGTGCAGATCTACACAGATATCAGTGCTGGTGAGCATCTCTCACTCCCTTTTAAACGTGCGCTTGAGTTGACATGCAGATAGAATGGACGTCTGGTGATGTCGCTGCTGTGGCTGAGTGGAGTTACGGTACTACATCAGATGGTATCGGCTATCACAAGATCTGGAAGCAAAACCAACAGTCTTTGAGTGAGGTCAACGACCGCGCAGAGTGGGGTAATTGGGTAAGTAAACCACCAAAGGGCATGGAATCATGATCTGACATTAGCAGTATTATTCTACAGAAGCAGTCGAAGGTCTTACGTACAAGTCCGGCGCAGACTCTGAAGTTCGCGATGCCTTTGACAATGATGGAAGCCTCAACAACGCGGAAGACTCCGAATTCCGACCAATTAACGCTGAGTGGCCCGTGTTTGGATACGCTCTAAACATGGGTTCCGTCGGGTCTGACGTGAAAAGCCAGCTGTATACTATCGGTCTATGTCAAGACGACGCTATACAGTTTCTGGGCGCCGACGGCCTCAAGAACGTGCCATCACTTTGGAAAAGCTACTTTCAGGACGATCTCGCCGCCCTTTCTTTCTTCTACAAAGACTACCAGGAGTCCAACAGACTCTCTACGGAGCTCGACGACAAGATCTCTAAGGATTCCAAAGCAGCTGCAGGAGATGATTACGCTATCCTGACTAGCTTAGCTGCTCGTCAGGCATTCGGTGCCACTCAGCTTGTCGGCACTCAGGACAAGCATTACCTCTTTCTCAAGGAGATCTCGTCCAACGGAAATATGCAGACTGTGGACGTCATCTACCCTGCTACCCCAATCTTCTACTATACCAACCCAGAATTGGTCAAGCTGTTGCTTGATCCGCACTTCGAGAACCAGGAAAGCGGACACTATCCAAACAAGTTCGCTATACATGATCTAGGAGCGCACTACCCCAACGCTACCGGCCACCCAGACGGTCTGGACGAACACATGCCGCTGGAAGAATGCGGAAACCACATGTTCATGATGCTCGCCTACGTCCAGCTATCCGGCAACACCGACTACATCACCCAACACTACCCCATCCTCAAGCAATGGACCGAATATCTTGTAGAAGAAAGCCTCCTTCCAGCCGATCAACTCTCTACCGACGACTTCGCGGGCGCACTCGCCAACCAAACCAACCTCGCACTCAAAGGCATCATCGGGCTTGAAGCCATGTCCCAGATGGCGCGCATCATCGGCGAAACAGCAGACGCAGATAACTACACCGCCATTGCCCACGACTACATCACCCGCTGGATCGATCTCGGCATCAACAAGGCTGACAACCCACCTCACTCTATCCTCAATTACGGAAACGAAACCACTCACGGTCTGCTATACAATCTCTACAACGACCGTCTCCTCGGGCTCAACCTCGTGCCCCAAGAAATCTACGACATACAATCTGCCTTCTACCCCACCATCAAGGAAAAGTACGGCGTACCCCTCGATACTCGGAATCGTTACTACACAAAGTCTGACTGGGAGATCTTCTGTGCTGCGGTAGCGAGTAAGGAGACGAGGGATATGTTTATTGGGGATCTGGCGAAGTGGGTGAATGAGACGCCCAACTCACACCCTTTTACCGACCTCTATCAGACAAATGATGGAACACAACCTCCAGGTATTGATTTCAAGGCTCGACCGGTTATGGGCGGTTTGTTTGCGCTGTTGTTGCTTGATAGTGAGGGGTTTAGCGCGAGGAAGAGGGTTTTGTAGGTTGTTCCACATCGATGTGGCTCTTGGAGACATACCGGCGAGTGTGTTATTCACTGCCGTGAGTATGTTGTCTGCGGTAGTCAAGTAGACCCGGAGTGGTGTCCTTGTCAATACAGGGTTTCTTGAACAAATCACATGATTGTCATTTCCCACGAACTTTCGGCCTACTTCTTCCCCTTACCTTTTCCCTTCTTTCCCCCATTGCCGCCACCTTCGACTTCGCCTTCTCCTTCCAAGTCCGACAACGCCTTATCAGCGTCGACATTCGCGTCGTATTCCACATCCTCCACCCACTGCTTCGCCACGAAAAAGTGCCATGTCGCCGCTGCTGCAAGCCCCATCACGACCACCGTAGAAAACAAGGTCTTGAATATCGACCATAACGTTATACTAGCGAAGTACCGGAGCCATGGCGTAACGATGGCTTTTCTTTCTTCCTACATAGTGTTAGCATCCAAAATCATTGGCTCCGATATCCCAGAAGGAAATACCAACCTCCAGATCCGGATTCACGCAGTATAGCAGCAAGACGAGCGCAACGAGAATGAATCCCAACAGGATGACGGTAAGAACCTGGATGACGGCAAGCAAGATGGAGATATCGCGTGTTGTACGGAGGACTTTGAAGCCGGCCGCTACGAGTGGTGTTACTTGTTCGAATGCAGCGTTGATTTGGCGGGAGTACGGTATACCCATGTTGGGTGCTAGCGTTGGCTCCGGTAGTCGCTAATATGTGATGATGTATGTGCGCTGGGTATCGTCAAAAGAAAGAACATAGACTAGAGATTAGCGATTAAATAGTGTATTTGTTGAACCAGAAACCTGGAAAACAAGATGCATGACATAGCGGGGTTGCTAGATGCGCATGCACGACGGGAAGGTGAGATGAATGGGTGGGTGGAGTGCAGATGGGCCACTGACGTCATTTTGACCGTGACGAGGAGCAGGGGTGAAATGAGTGGTGTTATGCTTTAGCGAGAAGAGACCTTGGGGATATTGCGTTGGAGGATCGATGCGTTCGATATTCATTACTTTGACTATCTTCATGATTGTCCAACTGATTTCTCATCAATTTCAAGGAGAAACTGGACAACCGTCTCGATGAAGTAACGCATGGCCTCATCACCAGAAAGTTCATGGTCAGCATCCAATGGAATGACCTGACACTGCTTACTCGCCAAACCGTTTGGGATCGTATCAATCCACCTCTTGAGCAAAGCTTCCTTGTCTACAGTCGAGGGGACCATCTCGTCCTTCTCTGACATCAGAATCAACGTCGGCTTATCCAGTTTGCCGAATGTGGACTGGAGAACGGAAACTGGTAGATCGGAAGAGAAGAAGTCGTCGTCGCCTCCCACAGAGACTAGAGAGTGCCAGCGGTATGCTGTTATGGGAGATGTAATGATAGGTGGGATGAAGGAGCTAGGCATGATAGTCTTTCCTTCCCCTTTAGCAATGAGAGCTTCGGCGTGCTTGAGGCTGGTGGAGAGGAGGTCTTGTGGCATGAGCAGTCCAGCTGTTTCGCGATCTGAAGTTGGGGCTTGCAAAATGTAGCTGTCAACCAGGGGAGGCGCTGGCAGGGTAGTTGCGTATGTCATGATGGCCTGACATCCTTCTTACTCGTTAGTAACTAGCAAAACCCGAAGAAGAGCATCTCATCTCAGTGGAACAGACTCACCAGTTGAACTCCCTGTCAAGACAATCTTCTTCTTCTCAATCTCCTTCAAATATTGCACCAACTCCTTCAAGTCTTCGGCATCTTCCTTCAGGCTTCCATATCCGAACCCTGTATAAGTACTTCGCATTCTCAGCTCCCAGATACTATAGTGCACGCTGTTTCCATCTTTCAAACTCGCACGTTCCAATGCGTCATTTAAAGGTCCTAGGTAGGGGGTTGTATGCGGACCGCTGCCCAGTCCGCCGAGGAAGACCAAGGCGTTGCTGCACTTGGCCGAGTTGGAATGGCAGCGCTCGTATGCACATGTCTTTGGTTCGATCGGAGGAATGGGGTGGACGTGAACTGAGAAAGGACGGAGTCGTGGTGTGTGGGTTGACTCGGAAGTCGGCATTGTGGAAAGAGGAATGGACTCCTTGTTACTAGAGCAAGACTGACTGCTTTACCTCTCCTAGGATCTTCTATATGCCCTCTTACAGACTCTTATAGTCTATTTCTCTTAGATTGGCATGCCATTGTCGCCAAGAATGCATAGTCATGAGTGGGCCATCTGCGTATAGCGACGTGCGTGATTGGTGTGTTTTTCACAAAGGATTCGACGGGCGTACGTCAACTTGGCTTGATGTGCTAGCATGTCACATCTCTGGTTTGACTACGCTGATCAATGCATAGCATGGTAGATGGACTCCATATTGACTGCACATTGGAAGCACAGGTGCGCTCATTGGCATTCTTCGCGCCATATATCCATTGTATAGCATGATCCATAGTCGTGACGCGTACCTCCTGGGTACAATTGCAGTCTAGAAGTCTATTCGTGTAGATGCGATCTACCCATGGTCAAATTCTTGTGTTCTTCACAAGAAGGCGGCCGCAGCCGCCGCAGCCATGACGCCGAACTCAGCCCCCAGCCACTGTCCAGCAAGTGCAGTCGGCATCGCGGCTCCCTCGGAACCGGTTGTAGAGGTAGCCCTCGCCGCAATAACGTTCCTCACGATGCTGAACTGATCGCTGACCTGTTGTTCCTTGAACGACCTCGCCGCACTCGGCAGGGCTGTATACCAATCTGGCTTGGAGAAGTATGTGGGGGTCTCGTCGGCCATGGTGACTTCAGCTGGAATGCTGTAATTCGAGGCGGTGCTGACAAAGGCGTCGATTTCGGAGCGCGCGGATGTGAGAGAGGACTGGTAGGGCTCGCCGAGGGATTCCGTGAAGCGACCGTAGGCTATCTGCGCATTGAGGAAGACTGAGGTCGTCCATTCCTGGGCCTGCTTAATTGTCAGTACGGCGGTAGGGACCCCCAGATTTGCGTTCAGCGTACTTCAGATGGGTTGGCGAAGGTTGGGATGGCGGACGTGGGAATTGGCGGTTCGGTGTAGACCATGAAGTCGCCTCTCACCACTCCCGCCGCTGCGGTCAGTAGAAGAAGCCCTGTTTTCGCAAACATGATCTGATAGATGATGCGATATGTACTAGCGAGGGTGTATGCGAAAAACGATCGTAGAGTTGATAGAGAGCGGAATGTGTTGTGGTGTAGGACATCAACTGCGCGCCTTCGGTGGCACACCCAAGAATTCAGGCGCGGCCCCAAGACTTCTTTCCTCGTATCAAACCGCTACTGCTCCACATTTTGCTGATCGTGGTCGTAACGTCCTGGGCGCAGCTGGGCAATGCGAAGGATCCATGTGCACGCGGAAAGTCATGACGAACTGCGGCGGCTACTCCACGGAACGCGAATGGGCCCACTTTAGCTGACCAAGACGATGAAAGATCATCTCCACGTCCTCAACAGCCAAACCGCTGACCGACGCCATAAACACCTATAAACATAATGTTTAGCAATGCCCCAAAGTGCTAGCAATATGTGGGGTGTGTAGGGAAATCCTCGTTATTGGGTACCTAAGTAGATGCCGCGTACATCGCCTGCCCCACGCCTCTGTCAACCATGGAAAGTTTCCCATTCGGTACATATCGACACAGCGCAAGCCCGGCACTAGGTCCAGATTATATCTCACCTTCAACGGTACCTGTACTCGTTGCCTCCATGGCTATCCCGCGCAACACGGTAGCCTTTTTGGTTGGAGCTCATACGCACAAGGCCTGCCGTTCAACGAGCGGTTTCATCGCTTCTAACGGTCCCAGCTCACCAATAACTACCTTGGGTACCATAGCGATGATTGTTCACACCACTCAGCCTGGGGGACGCCGCGATAAGATGAAGGCGCAATTGTGGTGGGGTACAGCTCTTCCAGCAGTCCCGTGTCTGCATGTTCGTTGTAGTCCGTGTCTACGGTGTGCGTACGTTTCGTGATCTAAGCGCTTCGTTCGTCCGGTATGTATCATCAACTAGAACTATATGATTAGTTGTTGCGACTTGGTGAACATCTTTTTGTCCTGTCTGCAAATTGACGCACACAAACAGTGCGTGCGCATACAACCTTGTCCTCGTCATTGGGGGAACCGAGCTGGAGAGGCAATGGATGGGAGTTGCGCAGTTAGTGAGCGCACCCAATGAATACAGTATTTGGGTTGTGGACGCTCCTCCTTAGCATCCATCGTGGCTTGCAGCATTAATCTCGGGAATGCTTCTTTCCTCATGGCTTCGACTTGAGAAGACTTGTCGTCCTGCAAAAGACTGAGTCCTCGGATGCTCTGGTGTCTATCGTGCGCGGATTACCTGTACTTCGTGGACGTGGCGATTGACCCAAAGACGCGGGTTCGACGGGGTCCGCGAGACTGTAGTCCTTGTTCGCAGTTTTGTGTCATTTACAACAAGGGTTGCCAAATACAATACCTATTCGCCGGAAAGAGTGCGTAAGACCAGAAGGCCGATCAATTGACACAGCGAAATATGGCCATGATATTACTTCTCGGTCCGATTACCGGTGTATAGGTGTCGACACAGCATTTAGAAATAAGATGAACGCGGTCCTACTCGGAACAATGCAGCTCATGTTTCCTTGTCAAGATCAATAGCGAGCTGTCGGTCAGCATGAGGCATCTCTGATGGAGATGCGCGCATCCAAGATATTGGGGTGTGTTGTGCTCAGCATCCCGGCGTATTCGCGCTCAACGCTCGGCGGGTATACAAACTGCGCACACACAACAAGACATGGCGTCAGCCGATACGCAACACGGTATGCTCTGACCACTGCGATGTGTCGCAGGATGCGTATACTTACTTGGCCGAAAAAGCAAAGCCGCAGGACACCTGCAGACGGCACATATCATACACCGTTGTACAAAGGTCGTGTCGATATCGTCGAATATCACGCGTCGTGGAAGGATACGGTGAAAGATCGAAGGCTGGTCGCCGTTTGGTGCAGCCTATTCTTGCATCGTTGCCAGGATTTGGGCAGTCTCCCCGTGTGTCTATTTTCAAGTCAATTAGAAGAGACACATGAGTGAAAGACAGAGGACCGAATCGTCCATGGACGGCGATCACATACCACTGAACCAACGAAGTGGAGGACTGGGTCCGATCACTACGACATACGACGAACTATTACACCTTGAATCGGCACTGACCGTCCCAACTGGCTTTTTTGAGATATTCTACCAAGTGGCTCGACTAGAGCAGCCACCGAGTCGTGATGAGAAGCCTTTTAGCCTAATACCCCAGTGGCAAGGCTCTGAGGATAATTGTGTCGTTTCGTGGCGCGGCGCTTGTGGTGTTCGACGACGACCAACGGGACGGAGGCCTTGGTTAGGACCTTCAAAGATCTCGTGCTCGCGCAGCCGCCTCGAACGGTCATTCATTGATTTCTGCCCCTGTAGAGGAAAGAACGGCTGGAGATCCCGACAAGTACGACGGTCCGAGCGTGGGATCTCGTTGAGTGGCTGCGCATGATCGGAGTCGGAGTACACTAAACCAGCATCGGTACACCACATAGTCATGATTACTGTAGACTATTCCAAGCTCTGGTGGCTCATCTGGCTGGAAGCGAGGTTCAAAGGATTCGGTGTTGGTGGGCGTTGTGGATACTTGGACTGACTCCGTGCACATTGTCTGGGGTGATCCGACAGAGTACCCTGCCCATCTCGTGATGCTAGTCAACCCACAGAACAAAGCGATGTGATTGCGCGACCTTTAGGCGCCCTCAATGTACACATACCCACCATGCTGGGTGATGCATCGAACATGGCTGCTTTTGATGCAGTCAGACTTGACTTTTCGATAAGACAGAATGCCAACGCAGGCAAAGATTGCTTAGGTGCGGGCGGGCACGGCATGCAAGAGTAGCCAAGTCTGCTGAAAGCCCGTTCGGGATCGCTAACAAGCATTGAAGAAGCAGTTGCCGCATCAGCCGCGCATGCAAGCCCTTTCTTGTGGGTTCCAAAGGAAGGGCACAGCGGCCAGAGCATCCCGCGAAGGAGTCGAGGGCGTTCAGGGCCGTGGGAAGCTGCAGGCAACGCATTCAATAATTGCTGTGATTCAGCCGGTGCAGGCTGGGCAGCGGGATGCTTAGATCTCATCTACCTTATGGCGTCTTCGGCTGATCAAGAGTGTTGGAAGATTGGCATTCAAAGAAGAGCCAGCCACCCGTTGGCGGCTTGGCCCAGACATCGCCCAGGCGTAAGCGAGACCGCCCGTTTATACGGTGGCCGAATCACGTTGACAGGACGCTAATCAGGGATTGTGCTGCTTGCAGCATGTACTATCAAATAAGACGATGGTAGGATGTGTTAAATGAGCCCGGTGAAGCAGTTGCGATGTATCGCGTGAGGTCTCCTCGGAGCGCGTTAGCTGTTGTTGATCTCTGGGGAAGCTGTCTGGGGAAACCTCTGGGGAACGGCTCGAGGCGCTGACGGTGCAAGAAGAAAAGCGGGATATCGCATTGCAGATGTGGAGTTTCCGCGGAGTGTATCATTGAGCTGGATTGGCCATGAACGAAGGAGCGTTCTGCCGTTCGGCGCTAGCCCGTGCCTCACATCCATCACGTGTTCGGGGCACCAGTGAGTTAGCAGGCTGGGGAAATCCGGCTCCATCTTTCCGCCAACCACGCCTCATCACCTCGGCTCCGCGTGCTCTGCTGTTTTCCCCAGGCTGGCCCCAATCATTATGGGGAGACCCTGAAAATGCGCTTGTCAGACCCACGTTCTCGGTCGCTGGAGTCGTGAGCTTAGAGTAAGGGGTTAGTGGCTGGTTAATCTATTCAACCGTAGCATGCGACACTCTCGCAGCTGATCACGACCTTCGAGAAGGTTGGCGGAAGTGTCAAGCCTGTATGGCCGAGCCGGAACAAGGTCGCGGCTGGAGGCTTGTCCTTGCCCAGGTGAGCTTCACGAGGGCATACCGGGCTGGCGGGCCTTGTCGCACTGTAGGCATGCATCCATCAGGCCAGGTCCAACATTTCCATCACAAGACAAATGAGCCTCATTGCTTAGGCTTCTTGTTGTTCTTGACGGCTGACCGTCCCGCGCGCCGAGGCCGACTTGACACTGGTAACAAGATGATCCGTTCATGGGCAAGACGAAGCTTGGGGTCTGGGCAAGCTACCCTTGACCCCACCGTTTTGGGCAATTTGCCGCCCACTCTACCCCATACGGCGGTTCATCCGCGCAGAGTGCCACACATTTCTCCAGTCGAATTTAACCGGTCCGCTAGACCGTTGTTCTGGAGCCAAGGTCCTCTGCGAGGATAGTATCGTGCAGGCTGGGAGGCATATATATGAAGCACCAACATGTTCAATCTATCCAGGCTCAGCTGCAATCAGCCCAACCCGACAAGTCAACAGCTTATATACCCTGCTGCCCAGGACAGTGTAAGGTTGTGTGTTTCAAAACCAACCTTCACTCATTACCTCGTTACTTCGATTCAACAAGCAGTCTACGGACTAAGAGTCGGACGCCATGGGTCTCTACCAGAAGTTCACGCCCAAGATGGGTGCCGTTGCGAAGAGCAGGTCCGACGTCGAAGCTGCTCAGGCTGAAGCTCCTCACCTCAAGAAAGTCAACTGGAGGTCCGACGCCGGTCTCCGCAAGCTCTACTTCTACGCCTTCTTCATCTGTATCGCTTCTGCGACCACAGGTTACGATGGGTAAGTCTTCCCATTACTGTTATCCAATTGACCAAAGCTAACCCACTCCAGTTCCATGTTGAACAACCTTCGTATTCTGCCTAAGTGGACGGAGTTCTTCGGCGACCCAAAGGGAGACACTCTCGGTCTCTTGACTGCTCTTTACTCCATCGGTTCGATTGCCTCGCTTCCCGTCGCTCCCTTCGTTGCCGATCGCTTTGGACGTCGCGCCTGCATTACCTTCGGATGTGTTATCATGATTATCGCAGCTTCCATCCAGGCCGCCGCTAAGAACCTCGACTACTTCATGGGTGGACGTTTCCTCATGGGTTTCGGAAACTCGCTTGCTCAACTCTCGTCTCCCCTGCTCCTTACCGAACTCTGCCACCCTCAGCATCGTGCTCGTGTCACCGCCGTCTACAACTGCTTGTGGAACGTTGGTGCCATCATCTGCACATGGTTGACTTTCGGTACCAAGCGCATTGAGAGCGACTGGTGCTGGCGTGTACCCGCTCTTACCCAGGCTGCTCCTTCCGTCATCCAGTTGGCCGCTATCTGGTTCATCCCTGAGTCCCCACGTTGGTTGATCGCCAAGGAGAGGAACGAGGAGGCTCTTGCCATTCTTGCCAAGTACCACGCCAACGGCGATGCCAACAACGCTACCGTCCAATTCGAGTTTGCTGAGATCAAGGAGACTCTCCGCCTCGAGTTCCAGTACCAGAAGACCTCCTCCTACTTCGATTTCTTCAAGACCAAGGGCAACAGGTACAGGCTCATGCTCCTCGCATCTCTCGGTCTCTTCTCCCAATGGTCTGGCAACGGTCTTGTCTCCTACTACGCCACCGATGTCTACAAATCCATTGGTATCACAGACGCTGACACCCAGCTCGGTATCAACGGTGGTCTTACCATTCTCTCTCTCATCGTCTCCGTCTCCTGCGCTCTCCTCGTTGATCGCGTTGGTCGTCGCCCACTCTTCATCTCTGCCACCGCAGCCATGTGCGTCACCTTCATCGTCTGGACTATCGCTTCGTCTCAACAGGAGGCTACCAAGAGCAAGGCTGCTGGTCAGGCCGTCATTGCCATGATCTGGATCTTCTCCGTCGCTTACGCGCTGGCTTGGTCTGGTCTGCTTGTCGCCTACACTGTCGAGATTCTGCCCTTCAAGATTCGTGCCAAGGGTCTCATGATCATGAACTTGTTCATTCAGATTGCCCTGACCATCAACCAATACGTCAACCCTCTCGGATTCGACAACCTTCACCCTACCTGGAAGTTCTACACCATCTACGCCGTAAGTCACATAGCAATAAGCCTTGAAATATATCACGTACTAACCAAAGCCAGTGCTGGATCTTCCTCGAGCTCATCTTCGTCACTGTCTTCTACGTCGAGACCCGTGGTCCCACTCTTGAGGAGGTCGCCAAGATCTTCGATGGTGATGAGGCTGAGGTCGCTCACATCGACATTGAACATGTTGAGAAGAACGTCATGACTTCCGGCTACGAGAAGGATGACAACGTCCGCATTGAGCAGGTCCGATCATCCCAGTAGATGATTTGATCTCTCGTGTGTATATAATTGCTGCTTTGATTGATGTGGAATGATGGTGGTTGGATGATTTTGCTATATACCAAGTATGCATGTCCTTCGCTAGTACTAGTAATCGATATGCGTCCTCTTCTCATATTATATCCCGCTCTGTGACTTGTACATCATGCGTCAATAACGCCCTGCTCCATCTGACTAACCTCCCTTACTTGCCGCCTTGCCTCCTTTCTCTGTCTTCGTCTCTCCATCTTTGCCTTGATAGTGGCTTTGATCCCCGAGCAGCACATTACTGAAGAGAACAGTGCACTTCCCATCCACAGCAGCGCATTAATGAGGTCGCACCACACAGCTCTCTTCATGCGCCCCACATCCACATTCTGGTACCCTTGCTCGATGTCCCCGCTTGAATAGATCGTATAGAAGAGGCCGAAAGAGGCAATCCATAAGACCGCCAAGATCCATTCCGGGATCCAAGTGACACGGTAGTTGCGTACTGTTACACTATCGATGACTAGAACCAACAGAGTAAGCCCAAAGACGACTTGCGCAAATATGAAGTCGGTCTTCGAAGTACTCGTTGCATGGCTCAATTCGATGGCGTAAGATATGCCCGATGCGAGTGCGAAAGCGAGTTGGAAGATACGGATGCTGAGACGGAAGAGGGATACGGCGGGCTTGTCGAGTTTGGCATTTACTGCGGACTTGAACGAGGACGGGGAGATGAACTGCGACTTGAAGTAAGGTGGTGGTGGTACGGATGGTATCGAGTGGGTCGATGACGCCGATGAAGAAGTTGTGGATGGCTTGTTGTAGACGGCTTCGGATTGCTTTGGCTGACCCATTATGTTTGATTCGCTCGAGTGGAAGTGCGAAACTTTATAGTCGACGTCGCAGAGAGAAGCGTGAAGATGGTTTAGCTCCGAGCACAGCAGCGGGTCAGCCTGAGGTTATATGCATTCCGAGTGCTGACGCGGTTGGTTGACTAAAACTCGGCGCACTACATAAGAAAGAACTTTTCGCGGTAGTATGCTTTATTTAGTTCTGCTAAGTGGAGCGTGATGAGGGTGCCAGACATTTGTCCCTGGAAAATGCGTATTCTAAGAGAACACGAGCGAATGCGAGGGCTGGCGCACTAGCGTCAACATCGGAGAGAAGAACCCGCGTCGGATCAGCAACGATCAATGCAACGCCGCTGCACTCATCGTGGGGCTTAGCCGAAAAAAACCTCCTGATTAGGTGACACGTTGGGAAGGGGTCAGTCAGGTCAGTTTTCGGAGATTTCCTGTGCTGGAGATGCTTGCGGCGTTGCGCAGCCCTCGCGGAAGGTGTTCACGCTAGAAGCGATGATGCATGCCGCTAGCGGCTGTGGTCTCTCTTAATACGCGCTCCTCGCTCAGAATACGCATTCTGGCGTCTCAACATCTTCATCAACAACACCAACATGCAACAAGATTCGCCACTCACGGAAGCCACATCAACTTCGAGGGGAGGGTCTCTTCTAAATTCACGGGAAACCTCTCCATACGAGCAAAATGGGAAAGTTACGGCAAAAACATCAAAGATAACGAGGAAGTCTCATCGCAAGTCGCGGGCTGGATGTGTTCATTGCAAGACGCGTCGCATCAAGGTACGTACCTAGATAGTATTTGAGTATCTCGAAGATCTTTGCGCCATCTCTCTTGAGCAAGGCTGTGGGTTTAGTTTCTTGTATACAGCATGCCGAGCTATCGTTGAAGGACAAAGTTTACGCTCAATGTGCTAATGCAATACCTAGTGCGATGAGGGCAAACCATTTTGTACCAATTGCAAACGGCGGCAGGTCCGCTGCGAGTACCCAGCAACGTCTATTATCGTTCCGGAAGTTACTGGCCTACAACAACCCGGCGGCCTTCCACTTTCTGAGATTGAACTCACGTATCACTGGACGACGACTACATGCCACTCGTTGTCAGCATGGCCTGCCGGTGCTGCACGCGTACAATCGTCCACAGAAGAAATCGCATTCAAGAACGAGCATGTGCTACACCTCGTCTTCGCATTCACGGCTCTCCATCTCGCTACATGCCGACCAGACCGCAAGGACTCCTACATCGCTACTTCAAACCATCACTACGAATGCGCCCTAGCACTCGTCACTCCAGAGATAGCCAAGCTCAACCCCTCCAACTGCGATGCGGTTCTTCAATCTGTCCAACTGATTTGCTTTGTCAGTTGGGCGAGAGGACCACAGGCTGGTGAATACCTTGCTTTCGGCAAGCACGGTAGATCGGAGTGGCTCGTCATGTTTCGTGGAATCCGCACGACGCTCAGCGCCTTTGAGATAGACAACTTCGCGAAGACACATGCGCCAGCAGTGCGTAACAAAAGTCGGCTTTTACCAGTAACAGACGGGCCATTCGAGTTCGAAAGGCATCTTGAAGAGCTGAAAGAGCACATTGAAATCGCGTCTGAGCCTTCTGATCGCGACGACAATGTGCTCAGCGTGGATGTCCTCCAGGAGATGTATTCGAACCGCTACGGTGGCAAGGACGGTGAATACCACGTGGCGTTTGGATGGCTCTACCGAATGAGCGACGACTTCCTTGATCGCCTACAAGAATGCGATCCGCTGCCACTCATCATCTACGCGCACTTTGTCGTTCTGATGCACGACATGGAAAGATTTTGGTATATGAGAGGGTGGACACACCATGTTATGAGTGGAATCTTCGAAGCTCTGCCAACGGAGCATAAGCCCTGGATACGCTGGCCCATGACCTGTGTCGGGTGGATAGCACCGTGATGCATCTACTGTCTGTTTGTGGTAGGCTCAGTTGACTGCTTAGAAGCATCACATGTACGTTCAATTGAGGTGTATGTTTTAGATTGTTTCTCTGAAGTTTGGGGCTGCTTTCCACCACCAGGCATCGTGTTCATCTCTGAAGCGTCACATCGTGTCCAGACCCAAGACAGTCATACCAAGGCAGTCATGACACCCGCGGTTGAGCATGCTTGTTTCCCCTAGTGCAGCCGTGATGAAGGTTCAATCAAAAAGACCCAATTCGTACTCATCGCAATCGGCCAGCGCGTGTTGTTGCCCTGAGATCAAGCGAAGCGACCGTGAGCCTCCGTTCGGTCTGACCTACGGTCATTCGCACGAGGGCCGCGTCCACCAGCGCCGGAAGGACGATAGGGCAGACTTGTATGCATAGCAGCACGAGTATCTGCGTACCGACCCATACCGCCCAGGTGGTATGACCTATGAACGGGATCTAAGGATGAGTGTAGAAAGTCAGTATTTGTCTCACATACAATTCGTACAGGAGTATTACTGACAAGGTACATAGTCGCCAGTCGGAAGATCGTAGGTGATCGCTAGCTGGGGTTGCCAGAGAAAGGCTATTGCCTCTTGAGGGGTGAACATTATGGACGTATGTGAGCGTTGAGCGTTCATGACATTCATGGCCGACTCCATACTCTTCTTCTCCATCTCCAGTCTCGCTTTTTCGCGCCCAGCAAGAACATCTGCAATGTACTGTACATCGTCTGGCACAGTAATGTTGTCAGCCTGATCCTGAGGAGCTTTCAACCTCGATAAATATGAGGGGAACACATCGTCAAGTTCGTCGCTCAGCGTCAAGTCAATGACTGTGGATGTCTGACTGGGGAAGGACTTGGCTCGAGAGCTTTCGGTGGGTGCTTGGGCCTTTGGCTGCGTTCTCATGTATCGCACGTCGTCGGCCGCAGTAGTGTCGTCAGCCTCCTCATTTACCTGCGCTGCCATGACTTCCGGTTCCCTCTGTCGCTTGGTAGGAAGCTGCGGCTGAAACTGAGACGATTCGGAATCCGCTCGCGCACGTTTTGCGCCTCTCGCCATGGTGAAGCGAAATGCGGTACTGTTGAAGGTTACAAGTTAGCGAGTCTAGTATAAAGTAAGCCCGCGCATTCGGACAGTTCAGACAGAGAGGTTCGGCCGCGGTGAGTTGCTGGTCATGCAAGTTCCAAGGTTGTAGGTAGCCCATATAAGGTGAGTCCCAAAATTGCCGCTTGGACCACCAAAAAACGCTCGTAGAAGGCGCAACCACGTGGTAGCAGCTATTGTACGGCTATTGTGTGATCAAACCCGACCTTTTCTACCAGTCTTGGCATTGAAGTCCTGGAGTGCTTGCTTGAAACCAGGCCAGGCGTCTCTGACGAGGGGATTGCCCTCTAGCGTTCGTAGGTAGTTTTCAGGTACGTCATGGAGTCGCTTTCCTAGGTGAATGCCTTTGTGGAATCTCCATGTGTCTGATGCCGAAAGAGCGTTCGATCGAGACCCTTGTGCGTTCCGTGTGGGAGGCTGCGATAGCTGAGCGTGTGTCTGTTGGGGTTGAGGGTGGTCTGGCTGAAGACGTGCCTGCCCCGGCCTGTGGTACTCGAATGCCTCCAAAAGGCCCCCATGTCTTCTGTCCCTGTATTTGTATAACTGACCACCGATCATTCTGAGGTAGTTTTCGTTCACATCGGTGAACCGCTTGCCCTTGTGCATACCGAACGTGAAGACGTAGTCGCGTGCCGGATTGTACTCAGGTGTTGTCGGTCCATCCGTGGACTCTTCGCTTGTGTCGCTGCTGATGCTGATGACGCTCGATCGCCGAGATGCTGTGGATGGTGCGAGGGAGATGTATGCGGCCGAATCGGCAGAGGTATCCTCCTGGTAGAGACCGTAGCGCACGCGCGTAGTTGAGGTACTGAGTGGGTAATCGCGCAGATAGAGCTGCCTGTATACCGCGACCGCGGCTGCCTCCGTAAACATTATATCCGCTTGTGGTTGTATTCCCCGGCCGGTCGTGGGCAGTGGCGCCTGCACGTTGATCTCGATATCCTCGGCCTCATACATGTCGTCGTCGAGCAACTCATCGCCGAATTGGTCTGAGTCGGAACTGTCGCCGTCCATGTCGAGATCAAAGTCGTCGTTGCGTGAGGACCTGTAGAGGGCTTCGAAATTGTTGCCACCAGAGGATAGAGGTATGAAGTCTTGGCCCGATTCGTTCCTGCCCTTCTTCTGCGCAAAACGTCCGCCACGTCCGCCTCCTCGCCCTCCCCGTCCGGCGCCACCACGGCCTCCTCCTCCGCCTCCTCCGCGGCCTCCACCACGCCCGCCACGTGCTCCGCCGCGCTCGCTGCGTCGAGCGTTGTGTATTGCCTTTTGACGTGCTTTGTGTCTTATCGGGGGCGGTCCGGTTGGCTTGGACCCTCTGGATTTCCGGTTCGCAGCCGCACTGGCGCGCCGTTGCTGGCAGGGGCGCGACATTGCGACGGCGGAGTTTGGCTGTGAGTGAGTTGAGAAGAATGACGAATTCCAACCTGTGTGCTCAACGTCAGACTTCGAGACGCTCGGCCCCACGACTACCGATTCGGCATCCCGAAATTGCCCTTTCTCCCCCTGCGCACGTCCAACACCACGGACCCTGAATTTGTACGCGACTGTTGCGCACCTGGGCACATATTCACCGAGCTGGAAGACTCATGCCTTGTTCAAAAAGAAGTATCAAGATGGGACGGACGCTACCCTCAATACTCGCTAATATCTGAACCCTTGCCCAACAGTGCGACAAAAGGCCATGCGAACCCAAATATCCTTGCTTTATCTCGAAAGCCGTATTGCATCTATATCTTACCAACAGCATTCAATGGCTGCTGCCCGGTTGATCACAGAAGCTTCGAACTGGCAAACGTACTGATATTGATTCCTTTGAAGCGACGCAGCGACTCGTTTGCATCAGCCGTAGGTATCTTTGCCAGCCTTCTTTCGCTAATCTCCAGGGCGCTCACCAGGGCGTTCAGCAGGTGGAAGCCAAGCCGATACATCCACGCGCGCACAATGTTGACTTTACTGAGCTCCGAGGTGATGTAGCCGTGCATACGCAGATGCTTTCTTGCGCAGTGACATTGGACCAAGGAGGCAACCACGTTGCAGTCTCTTGAAGAACGAGGGATCTTCGTTGTGGATAGGAAACATCAGAGACTTGAAACAGCAAAGTGAAGAGCTCAAGCCAGCGTGAGTATGACGTATCGTCGTCTTCCTCTGTTATCATCTCGAAAATGCGCATGCCTCGACGATGTTAAGGCCATCTCTACGTTGATCATGACTTCATTGCGCCGCTCGCAATTTCCTGGGCCCATCGACCCTCGAGGACCGCTCATCTCACAAAACGTTGCCCAGCGCAATAACCCGCGCCGCCCTCATGAATACACATTCTTTGCAGACCCTCACATTCCTTGCGGCTCTACGATGCACCTCATTGCCCGGGGTGGATGCTTGCCGCTGACGTTGCCGCCAGAGCACTCTATTTGAGCACCGTGCCGCAACCCCGCATATCAGCCTTGCACAACCGCCGCATGGCCCGAGTACTCAAGCGGGATCGCCACACGAATATAGTAGCGATGAACAGATAGACAGGGTGAAGGGCGGGTGGTCCGGCATGGTTACTCTGAAACGAAATCTCTCTATGCTTTAATAAGGTACAAGAGTACCTGCTCGTCAGCGCGTCCTGTATCTGCATTCACTCTCCCTTGCATCTTCAGCTGGCCTTGGATCCGGTTATCCGCTCGTATTTGTCTCACTTGACTGACTGCGTCATCAACTCTACTTCTTCATCGAAACAAATACCCAACACTACCAGAAGCATTCGCAAGCAGGTCTTGAAGATGCACACCAACACCTTCGCCATTCTCTCTTCGGTTCTCTTCTCATTATGCGCAGCGCGCGTCCTCCCTCCTCAGCCCCCGCGCATTCTCCCTCGCGGTGATGCGCAGTCATTGCTGTCATCGTCCGCTACATCGCTGGCCGACAAGTGCACATTCACCCTCTTCCACAAGCAACTCATGACCGCTGCCCGACCAGCCTCGACAAGCGATGGCAAGATCAACTACGTCCAAGTCGACAGCTTGGAAGACCACATGAACGGAATCACTGTCGATCTCGCTTCTTCGAGACCCCGGACCGAGCGTAACTCGTATGTGAAGGTCTCTGCGACGCAGATCTTCGAGATCGATGGACTGGTGGATGACACCAAGTTGACTATCTACGGCTCCGATGGAGAAGATGCGCTGGCCTTTGAGTATGATGGGCTGAAATGGGCGACCGAGGGCGGGAGCAAGAAGTTGCACCCTGAAGCATGGTGTAACACCGGTTCCTGGGCGGAGAGTGGGAATGGAAGCAGGGTATGTTATTCCTCCGGGTTCATACGAGAATCGCATTACTAATACTCATGTGCAGCAACGATCAATGGAGTGCGCTTTCCCTTGCGCCAAGATTGAGGACGACGAAGAGGATGAGAGGGAAGAGCTGCGGTAGATCACTTTGATCCAACGTATGGCTCTAGGTCAGCATTAGATATGCTGCTCATCTGATCAGAGCAAGACTCTCTGGAATTTCTTTTGTGATCACTTCGATTCTCCAACACTTGATACCCATCCCAAAAGAATGATAGTCAGATCCAATGTGAAAGCTGTAAAGACCCGCAAGGCTGAAACTAAATTCATTCCATTTCAAAACTACATTAGTCTAAATTCATCGGTCTGGTTGAGTGATGCCAGCGTAACAAACTTTAGAAAAGGGAAATGCTCTATACGGGAAATTGAAAGTCAACTCAACGCTATCCTCCATCCTATCTGTTTCCGAACGTCCAAGCATCTCTAGTCACACCAAACCACTCCATCTCCTCGTCTGTCTTCTTCCTGCACTGACAACATCCCCCTTCTCTGCTCTCTTCCTCCTCAATCGGCATCATCATCCTCTTCTCCAACCACCTCGCCAATCTCTCATCATCACACCCCGTAACCTTCGCAACACCCACGCCCCTCACCCCAGTAAACAGTTTCAAGACCGAATTATCAGCCCCATCAAACATACTCTGCCAAACCTTAACCTGGAGAAACTCCGCACCAGAGAATGCGGCCGTAGCTTGACTGCTGGTAAACCGGGGATCGGTATCCAGACGTAGTTCAAGCTGCCAGCGCTTGATCTTCGCGATGTTGGTCGAAGACAAGATTGGTTTTTCGGGTAAGATCAGATGTGGTAGGGCGGTTAGGAGAGAGCGGTGGGCGTGGAAGACGTGTGTTGTATATAGTAGATCCTGGGCTTCTTCGTGGATCTTGCGACATGTGCGGAGGATGGCTGGGTAGACCGTTGGAGGTCTGGATGGCGTGGAGTATGTAGCGAGATCTTTGTGGTGCGGTGTGTTCGGACAGAGTAGCTCCTCGTAGATTTGGTTTCGGAGTTCTGCCGGTAGATGGAAGAGGATTGAGGTTTGCTGTGGGTTTGTTGCGCCTCTTTCCAATGTGGTTATTTCTGGTACCATTGAGACAAGAGGCTGGGCATGTATTGCTTCGTGCGTAACTGGGATGAACGAGAATGGGGAGGTGGTATTCGGCGTGCTTGCAGGGAATGGCGATGCATCATCGGTCGCATGCGTTCTGGGCATGTTGAAATGTGCTGCGTAGTAGTATGCTGTTGCCATTTTCGATGATTTTTCTTCTATGTTTGTCTAGCCTGGCGATGAATTGGAGATGGTCGATTGATAGCAGTGATGAACCGTCGTCGTTGATGTATTCCGAGGTGGACCACTCGCAATTTGCAACTCTGGTCGGTCAAGTCGGATGGTTCACAGTCGAGATATATTTCTTCAAGATCCTATGACGGTATGCTGTTCGTTGCTGATAGTTTTATTCGTCTTTGTCCCGATCGGGTGATGCTGACTCGGGGAGTTGATACTGACGGAGGTCCGACAGTCGATGATGATAAGCTTGGAACTATGTTAGACAACACTGTCGGATTGAGTCAAATCTTATACAAAGCAGTTCGTGCGTGATATCGATCTCAATCACCTTATCGTCAGTATCGTCGTCTGCTCGCGGTCACGTTAACATTCCAAGCCTCGGTCCGAAAAGGGCAAGATCGTCTGCGAGTAGCGTGAAAGTCGCGCCACATACATCGGGTATCACCCCACCGCCATTTGTTGACCTGAGATCATTATAATTGTCTCTATGGCTGTTACACACATCGCACGATGAACCTCCTAACGCAATTGCCCAATGCCTCCATATATACAAAGTACGTGTATCGCACAGGCAGAGCGCAAAGTTGAGTTGGCGCTTCGGTCTTGCCCAGGTGGGAACAACGCGTTGGCATGCTAACCCCGCCCGCGGGGGATTACCGCAGCAGCAGTCGTCACGTGGAGGCACTAACCGCCGCCGTGATTACTAAATGTGTCGTATCCTCATCACCCATCACTCCTTTACTCCAAAACTGGCATCGACCAACACAGTGAAAACGATGAAATGTTAGCACGTTGGGCTCAGACACCTATCTCTGCACGTGGTTGGGATTGCAATTTGGAACAGAACGGTGTTACATTAACGATACAGACATGTTATTCTAGTAGAGCCGGCCTTCTCCTTGAACGACTCGGACGATCCACAAGGACCATACGCTCCACTCTCAGTTCATCACGCTCAGGCCGCCGTCTCCCATTATGATCCACACATCTCCACCAGGCCTCCATCAGCATCGTTATTCGGCGCCAAGTACGGCTGTTCCGCCAGAGACGCTTTACTGGCATGGCTCGCGGAACTGAACGGTGAAGCCGCCGACGCTGGACCATTTGCCGCCAGCGTTGCAGGCTGCGCCGTCCTTGTTACGCTTCTTGTCCACGCAGACAACCTGGCAGTCTTCCGCAGCACCAAAGTTGTTCTGTAAAGGAGCCAGGCCGCAATTAGCTCGATCCTCATATCAAAGAGCTTTGAGAGACTTACGACACTGGCGCAGCAGTGCGAGCCATCCTGGAAGAGACATTGGCAGATGTGGGAAGCTTGAGCTCCGAACACGATCGTGAAGAACACCGCGGCAACGGAGAGAAGGCGGACCATGATGACGGATTGAGAAGAGAGTGGGTAAGTTGAAGTAGAGTTGGGTGTTGAAGTGGTGAGAGAAGTATTGCTGGTCGCTGCGATATCTTCACTGCAGAGGCGAAATCACCTGCCTTTTTAACATGTTCTCCTGCATCTATCACATTATCCTGAAGGCGAAGCATTTCGTTAGTATCGTGATAGCAACATGGGTAAAGCGGATTGATTAGTCTGTTTTCGGACCTTCTCGTGTATCTCTTTCGGACCTTCTACTACCTGCTCAACTAGGTACCAATCTCGGCTTCCTTCCCCATACTGTTCTGTACACACCGCAAATTGTAACGAACTGAGAAGATCTAAAGCCTCATCGGTACACCTCTCGACGATACTTCGGTGGCCATT